TTTTCCTCATACTATAATCATACAACCAAAATATATAATCGTTGCATTCCTAATTCAAGCATTTGAAATAAGCCCACACTGCAGTCTAGGTCTTGAACAGCACTGGGTTTCATTAGTGCATGATGATGAGGGCTAGACAAAGGAAGTGAGCACTTAATTCCTGTGTGTGTGTGTGTGTGTGTGTGTGTGTGTGTGTGTGTGTGTGTGTGTGTGTGTGTGTGTGTGTGTGTGTGTGTGTGTGTGTGTGTGTGAGAGAAAAGGAGAGCTCAAACATCCCATTGGACAAGGTGAAAAATTAGGACCTGAGTCAGCCTGTCATTTTAAGAGAAGGGGAAAAAAAGTGGTTGCCAAGGACAACAAGGGGGAGTGGAAAATGAAAACATGTCCCACTTTCCTCTCCCCATCCAATTTCTCTCTCCAGTGACAGCAGCCAGAGGTCAAGCCAGTGTGCTTGTGGAACTAGAGGGACCTTCAAAGACTGCAGACTGAAAAAAACTAAATCATTTTATGCCTATTTCTACATTCATGTGCATCAGCCAACAACCGTTTTTTTTTGGCTTAACGCTGCAAAAAATGTGAAACCATTAAAGCAATTATGTCAGCAAAGTTCAAATGCATACGGATGAAATCCTTATAATCCAGCAAATTTCCTAGTTTGTCTGGAGCACATAAGCCAAATGAGCTGAAACATCATTGCGCTGAACATGAGGACTTGAGCAAGGCTTCATAACATCATCAGACTTTTGTTGCGATAAGATTACAAGCTCAGAGTCAACAAAAGCCAGATAAAACCCTATTTTTGAATTATTCCTGGGACGTTGTTAATCGATACAAACAGATACGCAGTTGTCTGATGCTTTTCAAGGTTATACAATTGGCAAGCTACTCATGTTACATTGTACACAAGCACCACACTGTCAGTCTGCAAAGCGCTGGCAAACCGGCACAGAGAGACAGTGAACTAATTCATAACAGCAAAAGATTTCATAACCATTCTTGACGGACTGACTAGATGTACTGTCAGCTGGAAAGCAGTTATCCCACAGGCAGGACTCAACAATGAGGATGGCCTGATGGTCCAGAGTGTGAGAGAGTTTCAGGACACTTGGCAGAACTGTCACTTGTACTGCTGGGTCAGTGCTGCGTTGTCACTACATCTTGCAGTGGCTGCTGCACATGTGTTTTCATGTCTTGCAAACTTAATAACATTTGTCATGAGTTAGTTAAGATTAAAAGTGACAGAAAAGTTTTTATATTGTAACAAAATGTTTCCATGCATGCTGTTCCTTTGAGCCCTCAACATAAATAATCCGGATAAATATTTTAATCATGATAAATATTTGATATCTGAAGGATCACCTGACACTGAAGTAATGTCTTGTGATCTAGAGTAATGGCTGCTGAAACCATATCATGGCCCATTTTCACTGAGTGGTACAGTACAGTCCGGGTCACCTTTTTCAGGGTTGTGTCTTCACTGCCAAAGGCTACCAATTATACCCTTTTGGTGGGCGTGGTGTTCGAAAAAGTTGCAGTCGATGTCATTCTCGCTTGAAGTTTACATATCGAATAAGAAGCACTTCTCAATAAACACATGATTTATATACGATAAAACTTACAAAATAAGTTAAACATATACTTATACATAAGTATATAAAACTTAAATGCTTATGTATAAATACATGTTTATTACAAACCTTTCTATGAACACGATTTGATTATATGATTGTAGCTGCAGATCAATAATAATGCAAAATAGCCGACGGTGAAGTTTGCTGAAATGTCAAAGCTGACATTATACAGTCAGTACAAACCTCTTATCTGTATTCTTCACCAGCACATGTAACATTAACACATGTAAAAGTAATTCTGTCCTTACGAGTTTATAGTAGTCAGGATCAGCTCAAGAAGTTCGTTATTTCAAATATAGACGTGCAGAAACAGATTGCGAGTTCTCTGAAGAAAGTGGAACCGCTCGTGCTAGATGGCCTCGTAAACAACAACAGGTTTATCTTCTTGGCTTTGTGGCTGTTCATCAAGAGAACAATAAGGTTTGTTAAAGCTCCGATAGACCATGGCTCGTTATTATATGTATATATTATTATGGTGTAATGTCTTGGCTGTGTATTAAAAATGGAGCTTCCCTTTTTTTCATCGTCCTGGCTTGTACACACGCTAGTGACGCTTCTCTGTAAACCAATAGCGTTCAGCTGCACATCTAGCTTCGCCTTTTGGTACCCTTTTATTGTTCTAAGTACCCTTTGGAAAGGGTACCCAAAAAGTGGTACAATGGTACTTTTTAAGTCAGTCCGTCAGCATTTCACCATTAAGGGTTAAACAAATAACGCACAGCACTGTTATTATTACAGAAAAGTTTGTGCTGTTATAGTTCACTTACCTTTTAATACGTTTTGATGCGATTATAACCCACTATTAAAAAAACAACGACCGAATGTTTAGAATGAGAAGCTGTAATGTAGCCATGGCAAAATGAATTTAGGTGTGGCGCCCCAACATGGAAGAATGAATTCAGCGGAAACCATGGTACTGTACTACTCAATGCATACAGGCCATTATATAGATTTTACCTTCAAATTCCATAATTAAAACAATTCGCAAAAAGGAACAATTGTTTCTTTTTTCTGTGATAAAGATTTTAATGTACTTATTTTTATTATTATTACTACTTCTGCTATCACTACTAACATATATACACTAATTCCTTACACTTGACATTGTTTTATTGCATTAAAATACAGAAAGCAGGATAGAAAAGCGAAATGATTAACCTTTCGAAGCCGGGTGTGGATAAATTTGGTCCTGGAGGACCGGTGTCCTACATATTTTAGTTCCAACCCCAATTAAACACACCTGAAGCAGCTAATCAAGCTCTTTCTAGGTATACAAAAACTTCCAGGCAGGTATGCTGAAGGAAGTTAGAGCTGAACTATGCAGGACACCGGCCCTTCAGGACCGAATTTGGGCCCTGCTTTTCAGATCTTCTCTAGGGATGCACCAAAATGAAATTCTGACCAATGCATCATAACCGATATATTGTGCATCACTACTTATTGATACACTACTTAAAAGCACCAAAACAATATTAAAATCACAAAATATTAAATGCACGAAAAGTTGGCCGTCTCCGACTATTCACATCACACATGCAAAAGCTACAGGGACTAAATCAAAATGTATGACAAAAACAAGTCATTACTCACTGAAACTAGAGAACCTATAAACCAGATCAGGCTTAAGAATGCCGTATGGACTATATAATTTAGACGTGACTTTTTTTTTATCTGTGGTCACTGATCTTCATGAATATTTTACAGAATATTTCCTTTCCAGATAAAATGCTTTTCATTCATACAGAAGAAATCCATACTGATTTTAGAATCACATGATGAGAGAGAGTATGCAAATAATGACAGAACTCACATGTTCATCTACAGCCCTCTACCACAGAGCTGCAGCACCATCGCACACGAATCTGACTTAACTGTTGGCACTAGCACATATTGCAGCACGGCAGTAGGGGAAGGGTGGCCTACATCACAGGAAGATGAAAAAAGAGGGGGGAAACCCCTACACATCAACCACAGTCACAACACCTCTACAACATACTGCAGTAGCCCAAACCACAAAATGTTCCCCTCACTTGATTCTTTCTTAATTTACCCAGGTTGATGAACAACAATGGTGCTGATTGATATATATTAAGGATGACATTCTCTCAACAAAGCAGCAGAAGCAGATAAAGCAGCACATTACTGCTTTGGTTTTGTTTCATTAAACCATTTACCTTTGATTCTCATGGGCAGACACTGGGCTATCAGTAAATCACACTGTCTCTGCTCTTGGTTCAGGTACATCTGATAACCAAGATGCTTGAACTGAATATTTCCGACAACACAAACGAATTCCCAGTGTAACCCTTACTAACAAGAGAGCAGTTCTTTATTAGCAATATCTGACATTTAGGCTGCTGGGAACATGGGAATCTGTGTGGGAAACTGAGATGTACTGTACTGTAGAGGTGAATGAACTCAATGGGGGCCAAACAGGATGGGACTTGATGTAAACCAATTTGGTCATCAGTTAAAACCTTGCCTTTAATTAGGCCCTGATGACTTCCAGAATTCCAGAGGAAATAAACAGTCAAGACAAAGACAGGGGAATATGCTCCCGTCTACTAATTTTCCTAAACAATGCCCTGTCTAATTACAGAGGTCCAAAATAAGGCACCGTGCACAGCCTGTTTTCTAAATACAAATAAAGGCAGGTCAGTAAAGGAGGACCTGTTAGATGATGCAAAGCAGCTCTATACTGGTGACTCAACACGCCTTTTTATAAGCAAAATCAAATTTAACATGCAAAGTATATCTTTTAAACTCATTAGTATATGTATAGTATTTATGTTATGTTGGGCAACTGGATGAGTATCTCCAAGATCTACAAAGTCACATATTTAAACCTGCATACAACATGCTGGTGGCTTCTGACAGCTCCACAAGCGATTTCCTAGGATGCATCTCCCTCTTTAGTACGTGTCCGCATATATGAAGGCATTACATCTGTAATAACTGCAAACTACGCATACTCGGCTAGCCTAGCTTTGTGTATTTAGCATTCAGGTGGCTCCTAACAGCTTTTTTAGGGTGAAAAAAGTTAGCAAAATGAGGCACATGTGGTTATTTCAACCTGTTTGTTCAATTAACTACATAACTTACGTGGTGTTAATGTTTTCTTTTGGTTTAGCATGCAAGCTAACCATAATAACTAAGCTTTGCTTAGTAGTTCTGTGTGGGAGAGAGAAATAGCGTACTGTATCAAGTTCATCAGGTTATTCCAACCAACATTTTGGATAAATAATGTTAGTCAAGGACAGTTGTGGTTTTAAAACACAAGGCATAACTGTAAATGTGGCTAATTCAGCAGCTCGCCATGGCAGATTAGCAAGCAAAGCAAAAAGAAGAAAAAAATGCCCTCAACCCTACCTGAGTCAAGTTTACTGCTCCTCTCTTCTCTTCTTGCTCATAAAACGAGCCAAAATCCAAGCCAGCGACTTTTGATATTTGCTTAGCCGAGCAAATTTGCCTGCACTTTTCTTTCGTGGAGTGATATAGAGTAAAAAAAGGGCTCTGCACGTCCCGGGTTCACACACACATACACACATACAAACACATATATGAAGCGCTAGCAAGCTGCTAGTACTTTTACGATACAACATCCGCCCTACATTACTCGCTTTTAATACCTCGTTCAACAACAAAACAGCTCAAATTGAGTCTGTGCTCTCAGTTTCCCGTCAGCAAATATTACATGTTGTGTTGTATCCTCCTCTTATTCAGTAAAACAATGAGGGGAGGGCTAAAGCGGCTGAATTCGGTTAGCAATGTCGCTACGCCATCTATCTGCTCGAGCTCAGATGAAGCACAGAGGAAAGAGGTCCAATAAATCATCTGTGTTGGTTGGACCTATGAACTAAATGAGGACTGAGATTAAAGGCGAATTTTGCATGAATGGTTCGTTTTTTAACGTATACGATTTAACTAAATATTTGAGAAAAAAAATAATATATAATGTAATATAATATAATATAATATAATATAATATAATATAATATAATATAATATAATATAATATAATATGGAATAATATAAAGTAATATAATGTGAAGTAATACAATATAATTTAATATAAAATAAAATAATTTAAAACAATATAATATAATACAATATAATATAAAATAATATAAAATAAAAATAAAATAAAATAAAATAAAATAATATGATATTAAATAATATAATATAATATAATGTAATATAATATAATATAATATAATATAATATAATATAATATAATATAATATAATATAATATAATATAATATAATATGGAATAATATAAAGTAATATAATATAAAATAATACAATATAATTTAATATAAAATAAAATAATATAAAACAAAATAATATAATATAATATAATATAATATAATATAATATAATATAATATAATATAATATAATATAATATAATTTTATATAATATAAAATAAAATTAAAATTAAAATAAAATAAAATAAAATAATATGATATAATTTAATATAAAATAAAATAATATAAAAAAATATAATATAATATAATATAATATGGAATAATATAAAGTAATATAATATAAAATAATACAATATAATTTAATATAGTTTAATATAATATAATATAATATAATATAATATAATATAATATAATATAATATAATATAATATAATATAATATAATATAATATAATATAATATAATGTAAAGACTGTCCCATAAGAGGGCGACAACCCCACATCATTGAACTCTTGTCCACTAGGTGGCTGTAAACTGATGGCCAACGATTACTCATAAATCTTGATGACGTCATGCTGAACATACGCAAAAAACTCATTACTAATGCAAAATAAATAAAAAATATTGACAATAAATAAGTTGACTTATTTATTTTATGAAAAAATAACGATAAATATGTTAGATATAATTTCGCAGACCTAAAACGTATACTTTTATAAGCTTGGACTTTCAAATAAATCACATACAGACACATACACACCACACACACACAAACTGAAAAAAACCTGGTTTTATGGTTATGTCCAGTTTTGTTTTACTGAAAGATTAATGTTTTTGACAGAAGAAAATACATATCCTCATGTAAAATGAGTTTTTTCTACAGAAGACATCAAAATAACATAAAAAGAGGCTCCATAATAAATTTCTCTCTTTCACACACACAATGTATAGTGTGTTTCCACTGTGGACAGACAGGAAGTGTTGAATGTGAATGTAATGTGATCACCAACATGAATGAAGTGCAGCAGCACAGGCCACACTGACAGCTGACAGAACACACAGCCAGCTGCACTTTTATCTCCCTTTAATCTGCTCTAATCAGATCTCTTTTCTTTGTACTGGACACTGCCTTGAATGCATGAGAACCAGGTGTTTCTCAGCTACCTGCTCCTGTGAACTCATGTGCTGTCAAACAATGGTTGGAAATTGCACAAAAGGGAGGAAAAAACACAGTTAAAACCTGCAGGAGCCTTTAACATGCATAGAACATTTCCAATCCATTTAAGTATTGTCGTAGAACCCAAAATTTGATAGCAGGCTTGTCTCTGCAAAACCCCCCTTTTAAAACCATTTTATGTGTCTCATCATGAAAATGTTATTTCTAAATGTTAAATGATTAAAAAAAAGTTTAATAAGGTCAAAGGCAAGCAGGAGTTTTAAGAATAAAAACAATATAGTATAAACAAACAGCTATTTTATCTACAAAAGACACTCAGTCACATGTCATTCAATAGTTTATATAATATTATATAATAAAAGGCAGAACAAGAATAATTTGATTACATTTTTAAAATGTAATTTAAGGATCAAAGTGGAGCACCTAAATACCAGTAGTCATTTTAAATCTTTATACTTCAATCCCATAGCCAGGGGGAGTTCGGGTGATTCAAAAGACTCACCCCTCACTGACAAAGGTCCAGTATTTGCCTCATACATGAGTTCATTTGTCCTATTTTGACTGTTATGCCATCATAAATTGTGGAAATAACCTATTGAAAAAGGTTTTAAGACCAAGTGGAATCTTCTGTTGGCTGTCGCTTCAGTGTGACTTCAGCTAATCAGTTTTGGCCAGTGCTAACATATATTTTAATTTTACAATCTGATGAAGGAGAAGTCCTCTTTCCCCACTATTGTTTTAAAACAGAGAAAAGAAAAAATTTTACAGGCAACTTTTATGTAAATCTTGAACCTTATTCTTGAAACAAAATATGACCAATGGAAAGGTGTTAAGCACCAAAAGCGACCATTTGGCAATTGTTGTTAACCATGATATTTCAAAAGTACTTTTTTTTTGTTATGATGGCCATCTGACAATCTATTTTAGCTAAAATAGTGCTTGTGTCACCAAAATGCAGTATTAAACCTCCTTGATTAGAAGCCTAAATGAGGCCTATAACCACAAAAAGGTCCACTTTTTGAGATAAAAGATTCTCCCTGTACTTTTTTATCCTTCAAACTACCAATTTGACCCATTTTTCAACAAAAGGTTGTTTATTATGTAAAATATAGCAAAGGTAAGTAAGATCTCTTATACATACTGGACAAAATGCTTTGACTTCTTCTCACAGTTCTTTGAAACATTAATACATACCCTATTTACATTTAATATGTTCTCTAAATATATAATCACTTTTGCATATATGTTAAATTTATTGTGGACACCAAATGAGGATTCAATTATTTAAACATTAAACATCGCATTTTGTCATTTTGCAACTATATCATTAGATTTTTAATTGGACCAACAGCCAACTAATAGTTTTTTTTCAACTGTGTTTTAACTGTTTTTAATTATATTACAAAACCCAGCAAAAAGTACAGAATATTAACTTATGTAATATTTCAGAATGTACTTTCCCACCCATAAAATGTAAAACAATAATATAAAAAATACATTTAAATTGACAAATGTGTGTGCATATATAATAATAATAAAAAAAACATTATTACATAAAATTTTTAATTACAGTCACCTCTCCAAAGACATCCAATTTTATTTCTATCCTTTTATAAAGCGACTAAAAGGAGACCACACCTTTTTAAAAGTCTCTGCTTTACCTCTGATTACAGGTATGTAATTTTTTTAAGGGCAAGATTATTAGACAAATAATTTATTTACTGTGCAAGAACAGGTCTTTAGGTATTTTTCCATATCAAAGCAACAACACGTTTAGCTTGTATAAAGCTGAAACCTATATGTTTATTTTTTTTCATTTACTAAAATATTTTGTAATAAACAAAGTTTTGCTTTTAAAGGAACATTTTCTCCAGCCATTTCACAGACCACACCAAGCACCTCCTTCTAAAACAACTGCATCTCTCCACACTCCCACATACAGTGAAATAGAGTTCCACTTTCATCTTTACATTTTGTGCAATAATCTGGAATATTGGGGTTAATCCGATGTCATTTTACAGGTGTAATGTAAGTTCTCATCATCCATTTGCATTGCAGTTTTGAGCCTAAAGACATGCATATTCCCATTCATTAACAATATTATTTACTTGAAGGTCTCTTTTCTATGCTGTAAGGTATGATAGGGAATCTTTCATGTGATTTAAAATAAGTTGTACTAATGTAGAATATTGGGGCTCCAAATAGGTTTTAATTTTCAAATAAATAAAACTTCCAATTTGCTTCTGGGGAAGATCGTATTTTAAAATCAACTACTGAAAGGTCATAAGTGTGCCTCCTTCATATATAGGTTTTTACCATACTTATTCCTTTCATTTGCCAGTTTTTAAACCCCTTGTCATTTCTCCCAGGGATAAAACAGCAGCCAAGTAATAATTTAGAAAATGCATAATTGTTCTGTAAATAATTGTGTAGATGTTTCAGGTAATGTTTATTGAAGATTCTATAACATTACAGGAGAAAACCTTGTCAGAACATTCTGAAAAATTTCACTATTCGCAGGGATATAATGTATAAGTCAAATAAACTGTGCTTGTTCTTCACAGTTTTATTTCACCACTTTGTATCTATATTACATGAAATCAAGGACATGGATAAATTGGCTCTGACAATCTGCTTGCAACTGTTCCATCTTGTCAAAAGTGGAAAAGTGGAAAAACAGTTATTACACAGTGCGGGTGGTCGGTCTGCTTAGGCCCCTCCCCAAAAGTAGGCTGGTTTTAGGAGATAAAGTCCATAATATGACAGGATACATCGATTTTCTGTGCAGCAGGAAACCCAGGGGTTGAACCCAGTGGCCATCCTGCTCTCCTTCTCCCTCAGCTTCTCTCTATCCCTGTCTACGGACATCCAAACACAGCACACAGCTGAAGGGATGCTGACCTTTCTGAGGGGAGCAGTGCAGCCAGTGATGGTCAGCAGGACAAGGGATATTGTCCACAAACGCAACTCCAGCATCTACAGCAAACCACCCAAAAACAAGATCGGACCTGGGGTGAGTGAAAAAAAGTTGATATAAACATTTGATCATTTGCTTAAAGTAAAAATAATTGAGTTTGAATGAGAGTAGAGGTTTTATTCTGAAAAGCTTTTTAAACTTTTTGTGATTATGTTGATGTCTGACTGTGGTTTTCAATACTTAGCTGTAGTTCCCAAGACTCCACAATTCTCCAGCTGTGATTCTTTTTGGACATTTTTTGACTATTTGAACCAGTGGAAGTGCATTGGGAAAGAGAGACACAAATCCTCTTCCAGGCTAATTCATAATAACCCTTGCAATTGGTTGTAGTTTCTTCATTATTAACCTAATAGGGGAGATGGCAACAGTATTTTTAGTGTTTGTCTTTTTTTTATTAGTCACTTCCTATTTTGTGAATCACAGCCTCCTTTGCCTCCAATCACAGCTGTTTTTATTTATTTATTTATTTTTATCAAATGACTGATTAACTTTGAGTTGTCTCATATGTAAAGTACAATATGGTTGAAAATAAACCTGCTTCTGTAATCCAGGTAGACTTAAAATATGATATCACTGGTAATATACTTCAAATATATTTTGCTCCCGTAAAGTCATAAGGATAGCAATAATTGTGGTTTACTTATATTTAACAAAGTATTTGCTTTTTAATAAAATTGTGCTGTGTTTGCAATGACATGTTTTCAATTAGATCAAATTGGGTTTTATTTGTCGTATTTTAATCAAAAGAATAAAAGGTTAAACATTAAAGACATTTCATTTATTTATTTAATCATATTTACTACGGATGCTAATATTAGTGGTATCACACAAACTACCAGCAGGCACACAATATCATAATATGTTAATATAGGTTAGATATAGGTCGGACATCAGGTGACCAAAATTCAATGTCTAGCTAACATCAAAGGAGAACATTATTTTGACATCCAATAACTGCGTCAAATGAAGTTGATGTTTGGTTGATTTTAGGTTGTGTTGAAAATTGACCAAAATTCAACATCGAGCCAACATCTTAAACCAGGGTTTTTCAAAGTCTAAGACAGTGGGCCTCCCTTTTGACACAACTTATCCATTGGCGCCCCCCCTCCTCCCAAACACACACACACACACACACACACACACACACACACACACACACACACACACACACACACACACACACACACACACACATATATATATATATATATAAAGACACAGACAGATGTCAGACTGTTAACTCACTTTTATCATCATTTGCATGAAAGTGCAATTATTTAGAGTAATAACAAGTATTTTAATATAACGTTTTTAAAACTAGGATGATGGTTAATATGAATAGAACAGATCCAAGAACGGTCCATCCCAGTCAAAACAGTCGAAGTTTAGCGGGTCTCATGCTGTCATTAGCCAAAATATTTTGACAATCCACACATAAAGGTCGTGGTTCATCAGCTGGTCCTGTCCACGTAAATCCTAAACTCAAATACTGATCATCATATCGTCGTCTTTTGGGTTTAAGCCCTGAACTTGAAGGCTTTTGTGGCGAGGGGGCGTGGCCGAGAGCCGTAGGAACGGAGTGAGGCCACCGCGTAAGTGGATCTGCGGTGCGCACCTGCCTCAGATCCCACGGAAGGAGCTCTGGATCACATAAAAGGAGGAACAAGGGCAGAGGAAGCCGAGGACCGGGCCGGACATATTTTACTTTTGCTTTCAGTTTGACGGCAGTCTCCGTGAGGAGCTGCCGTCACTGTTATTAATAAATCATTTTAAAACTGCGTCGGTTCTCCGCCTCCTTCTTCCCGGCGGCCAAAGGGCCGTGAACTTCATTACAGCTTTGAATCGTGGGGGGGGGGGGGGGGGGTATAATTATTAAACTTAATAATTATATTTTTATAGTATTATATTTCTTCCCGCGCCTCCCCTGACATGCTCTGGCGCCCCCCAGGGGAGGCGCGCCTCACACATTGAAAACCCCTGTCTTAAACAATATTGATGTCATATTGACGTTATTTATTTGTCAGGTATGGCTACCAAAATCCAACGTCTGATAGATGTCATAAATGTAACGCCAACACAACGTCAAGCCCTAACATCATTAGACGTTGATATTTGGTTGTATTTAGGTTGGATGTTGGACACTGACGTCAACCCAATCATTTAATTTGAAAACAAAATGCAATGTAACGTTAAGGTACAATGTTAATTTGATATCATGTGGACGTCCTTTGCCTGCAGAAATGGTTCAAAGGTTTGGGCTGAGCATTATTAATTACATTATAATTATTATTATACAAAAAGGAAAGACACTTTAAATAAAATCTTAAATGAAATATTAAACAGCTCAACTGTTTTCAGAATTGATGATAATAAGAAGAAATGTTTCCCAAGCACCGATTAGCACATTAGAAAAAGTTCTGAAGCAGTGTGTATTATCAATGGTAATATTATTGAGCAATAATTGCATTCATGTTTTTTTCTTCAGCAAAGTTTCTTGATCATGTCTGTGTTTGCCGTTGCCCTCCTGGCCCCCGCTGGCTGGATTCTACACCACATCCCAGAATATCGAGAGAGAGCAAAAACACCACCATCCTGAAAACCATCCACTTCTGTCATGGTCAGCAGAAATCTGGCTTACCTCTAAAGCATTATTCACCTCCACAGAAACAATTCAATCATCAGTATCATGAGTACCTTCGGATGTAACAATATAATATTAAAAATCTGTTATTGTAAAGATAACAATAATAAAATACATAACAGTCCTATCTACAATAAAAAAGATTGAAATGTTTATGATGCCCCATGTGAATGTAATAAGAAATATAATCCTGTGGTGTTTAGTGCCTTAGGACTGTGGCCCTTAATGTAAGCAGTGGCCCTTATTATATACGCTTTCCACTGCAATAAAGTGTGTTTTATACCGTCTGTTTTGGTTGATAAGTTTCACTGGGATAATTGTTCTTGCCTTGAGGGCACCACTTAAAAGTATACACAGAAGTTAGATTGCTTTTCTTGAGGAAAAATTCACTTTGATTATGTCCTATGAGTTTGTGGTGCAGATACTGATAATCATAGATGAAGTTTATTATAAGGCCGGTGGGCAAATTTGATCATGAGTGGGGTTAAATTTACTAATGCCTTCTTCCCAAACCTCTTTTGGTGTTAAAAAACTGCTGTCAGAATCTAGTAAAGACACAAGCTGAAAAATGTGATGAAAGGCATGGACATAGTTTCCATTTTACATGCAAAATTTACGGAGGAGATAATTTCAGTGAATAATTTGATGTAATTTATAGTTTGTGGTAGTCAGTTTAGATGGGAATCTACTTCATTCTGTACACAAAATAGTTTTGCCATTTAGTCTTCTGCACTTTTTATTTTGTATTTCTGTTGGTATTGAGATACATGCTAAAATAATAAATATATTGTATCAAGATTCATGTTGGTGGATAATTGAACTTTTGAACAACATGTATATAATTGAACAATACAATATCTGTAAAGGAGCTTTAAAAAGATGTGCATTGTGGACAGTGCTTTCCAAATAAATAACCTGACTATAATCTAATATGCCGAAAAAGAAAGCAAATGAAAAGAATGGATGCAATCCATACAAACACAGTTTCACTTGTATATCAAAAAGTTAAATGAATATTGTTCCAGATGAACTATAAAATCTTATCTGTGGTAATAAGTGTTACCACAAAGTGCTTACGACTTAATGCTAATCAGTGTATCTACATTCATATACTTAATAACAAAATGGTTTTATCATCTATCATCTATCATTATCTCTCTAAAGTTTGTTGTTTACCTTACCAAATTTTATTTTCACTTAATTTTCATTGTGTTGATTAAAAAAAAAAATTAAACATTGGCCATGAGGATGACCATGGAACTAATAACTGTTTCAACCAAGGGCGTATATTTGCTCTTGATATTGGTGCACATCCCTAGAGTGCATGTATTGAACAGCACAAAATTTGTGTTTTTTAAAACATGAATGAAGATTTTAAACACTTAACAATACAAATAACAATCGATGAAGCATGTCATATGCTGCATAACTCAATTTACATGATTTTACTGCAATCTGGCTTTAAGGAGGAAGGATCGTACAGAAATTTGGAGATTCATGTGACGCATTTGAACTGTTTTGTCCCTTTTATCTGTCTATGGATTTTTAGCCTTGAGCACATTTAGGTTACTAAGTGTTGACAGAGCATTTTTTATTTCATTTGAAGGCGATTCAATTATTGGTGTGGACATTTCAGTAATTGATGGATATTGGAGGGGAAACGTCCCCTACGTCCATGCCAATTCTACGCCCTTGGTTTCAACATTTTAACATGTTCCCAAAAACAAAAATGTATTCACCCTTCTGTTGAAGAAAGCATAAAAGAAGATAGCTTGAAGAATTTTATAAACCCAAACCATTGACATCTTTGTTTGAAAAACAATCAGGTTAATATGAAAGTCAGTGATTTTAGGATTACAATATTTTTCTAAATAAAAGACAAAAAACTCTCAGACTCAAAAAGTTACGGGCGAATAAACGATGACATACTTTTCAGTTTGGGATGCCTTAAGTTCAATAATATAAATAATAATTTAATAAAAAAAACTATTTTGTTTCACTTGTTGATTATAAGTACTATATATAACACTGTTATGCTCTTTTTAAAATTTTTGTTTCTGTATACCCCTGCCATTGTTCTGTATATGTCTTTCATGTATAAAAAACATTAACTCACATATGTAAACACAGCAGTTTTAATGGTTTTACGGTTGTGTTTGTTGACACTGTCAAACTGTGTTCACACGATCAGATTTCAAGTCTCGTTTAACAAGGTGCACATTAATTATAAAGTCCCATATTCCACTTCATTTGTACTGACCTTGATAAATTGCATCATTATGGAAACGAGCTGCTGCCTCGATGCTCTTTACTTTATGCATTTGATTACCTGCAGATCTTTCCTCTCTAACTCCTATTATTAAAAAGAAAACACGCTGGGATTGCTTTATGAACAAAGAAAAACTGAACCTCAGTTCAACACCTTTTTAACTAATGTCAAGAACCATTTCTCAGGGGTGGATTTAACCAATAAGCAAGGTAAGCGGCTGCTTAGGGCCCCAGGAAATCTGGGGGCCACCAATAAATATCTAGAAGAATAAATTATACCTGTAAACAATATATAACATTACCCAGAGATGGATTGTGGCTGGAAGGGCATACACTTTGTAAAAACGTGCTGGATAAGTTGCCGGTTCATTCCGCTGTGGCGACCCCGAATTAATAAAGGGACTAAGCTGAAAAGAAAATGAATGAATGAATAAATATATAACATTGTTTTCTATCATATTTTGTATGGTGAGAGTCAAACTATAAAAATAACATTAATATTATTATTATAATCTAATGTTATGTAATAAATTATTATAATAATAATATAATAAAATAAAATAAAATTTAATTATTACATTTGCACAAATTTGTCCACCACCCCCCAATCATAGAGCAGTCCAGCAGTCAAATTTATTTAAAAAATAAAAATAATAATTATATATATATATATATATATATATATATATATATATATATATATACACACACACACACACACACACACACACACACACACACACACACACACACACATATCTTATTTTAGTTAATAAAATTTTACATTTTAAGAAAATTATTCATTTAAAAAGTAGAGATTGCATTAAGATGGAACATAGAAAAGACATTTTATGTAATATAAATAAAAACACATAATTAAACAAAATTTAAATAAAAGTATAAAGAGTGTATTTTAGGTCTGATGGACCCCAAAATGTCCCAAAACACCATTAAAATGTGCTGGTTTTAATGAGTGGCAATGTTTTGAAATTATTATTATTATTTGTTAACTTTAAGACATCTGTGATAGCCTAGATTATTTTAGTTTTTTTTCAACGGAGATATAAAATAAAACTAAGACAATTCTGTGAGATTATGCTTTATTTGGTCGGAAAAATGACATTTCATATGAATGTGATCACATTGAGATGCATTGATTCATTTTGGAGCTCTAGTGGATTCTAGTTTGCTTGAATGTACTTTTAGTGAAAAAAAAAGTAGAATGGGTGCATTTTAGAAATGGACTGGAATTGCTTAGGACCCTCAAATCACTATATGCTCACCTATTTTGGGAGGCTTGAGACTCACACAGAAATCAAGGTAAGCACCCCCTGCTGGTGTAAATAACACAGTACAGTAGACTTAAACCTGCTCAGCTTCAGTACAGTTGCAACGTGAAAGCAGTCGGCAAACTACCACCCACACTGAGTATGTGGAAAGGTCTGTTTACTTGAGGAAAGCACACAGAACACTGATGTGCTCGATAGCATCCAAAACACAAATATGATACGGCCAGTGTTTGTCCAGAGTGTTTCAGTCCCCTTAGGAGCAAAGGAAATCCTATTATGTGATAGAGGGAGGTCATAGCGGTCAAAATGTTTTGTTTTTATCATGAAGCTGTTCACTTTGTTCTGACAATGTCTTGTGGTATGAGAATATAGGTGAACGAGGAAATTGGCTTATTTCATAAAATCGCATTACTATTTCTGTTATAGGCTACATTTCTTTTTTGGCATAGAGCAATTAAAAATTAAACTGACAGTATGTCCATCTTTCAGGCAGTGACCCTGGTCTCAAGCACTTTAGAATCCCCGTTGCTTGTTTATTTTTCCAGAAGAGCAGGAATGTTGAGATTCAGCCTTATTGTAACATCAATTTATTTCTGTTCTTGAGATTTAAAAAAAAATACAAGATGTTTTTCTATTTTTACACACACACACACACACACACACACACACACACACACACACACACACACACACACACACACACACACACACACACACACACACACACACACACACACACACACACACACACACACACACAGGAAGTTCACCTCATAAAAAAATACTACACCATTTACTGTGCCTAAATTGATTTCAAACCCTAAAGAGTTTTTTCTTTCTTCTGTTAAATACAAAATAATATATATATATATATATATATATATATATATATATGTATATATATATATATAATATAGTATTATATATATATATGCCTGGTGCTTCCTGGGGCGGATTTACTAATAAGCAAGGAAAGGGCTTTTTTGGGCCCCAGGACTTCTGGAGGCCCCCAATAAATATCTTGAAGTATAAATGATATTATTCTTGTCATATTTTGTATAGTGAGAGTCTAAAAAAACCCTTTTACGTATTAAATATTTTTTAATGTACAATAAAATATAATATTATAATAATAATGTAATGTTATGTAAATATAATAAAATGAAGTAAAAAAAACAAACCACCCTCAATCATGGAGCAGTCCAGCAGTCAAATTTATAAATATTAATTATTTTTTGTTGTAAATTCATTTTAAGAGATCTTTTATTTAAAATGTAAATCTTACATTAAGATAAATGAAAATTGAGTAACATAAAAACTGCAAAGTAAATGAAAATTAAATAAAAGTACAAAGAGTGCATTTCAGGATTTAGGGGCTACTTGGTTGGAGTCACAAAATTCACCCCTGGGTACTTCCATACTATGTAAGTAAAAGGGTACCACCAACATCATTCTTCAAAATAAGTTATTTTGTTATTCTCAGAATAAAGAAACTTAAAATTGCTTTTGAAGAAGTATGAGGAAATGATGACAAAGATATACTTTTTGGGTGAAATATCCTTTTAAATATAAAGGGGATTATTGCAGCAATGTCAAAGAAGAACCATTTTTAATCCCCAAAGAACTATTCAGAAAAGAGCTGCTGAAACAACCATGTTTTCCTTTGAGCAAAGAGCATTTTAATGATCTAAAGAACCCTTTTCCACAATAAAAAAGCTGTTATGTTTTTT